ATATTTACTGTTCACTTCCTAAATTTTTTAACAGAACTGAAACCTGTGAAACCAAAAACTGTGGCGCAAGAGCGCCATTATCAGGTCATTCTAAACCGGTCAGGTGAGATTTCCGCCGGGGGAATATGCAGTAGTTACCGAGCACAATCACAACGCCATCAAGCCACATTAGAAAAACAGCAAAACCGGAAATGACGCAAAAATAGGACACAATTAAATTTGTGTTATGTCATTAAAAGTAACAAATTATTGTTCCAAACTGAAAATTAATGTCATACATATTTGTTTTAAGTTGTGTTATGTAAAATGTTTTGTGTTTAGCTACAAATACTTTATTAAAAATATATCAAAAAAAGTAGACTTTTTATTTTGAAAAGCACCGGATGTAGTGTTGTTGTTATGCTCACGCGGATGTCATGGCCGCGGGTTCAGCTCCCGGCCGCTAGGAGGAACAGGGAGGGTTCCTTGTGCCTGGTCCGAAGTGTGCGCGGAGRAGGAAGAGGTCTGCATCCCAGGACGAGAAGACAAGTCCAACCCGAAAGCGCGACACACAGAAGGAGAAGCCTTTCAGTTAGACTTTTCRTTGGACTTTCTTTACATGGGGACGAGAAATGACATCGTCGACGGGCGAAAGGAGGGCGTTTGCTCATAAAATCAACCGGTGAGACACAGACTGAAGTTATTGTTTCACAGCAGTCAGTGCGGGAGAGTGTGACCCGCTGGACCCATATGCACACATATAGCAAGTATGCTAGGATCTGAATTAACCAAAAACAAACAAACAGAACAACTACAAACAGTTCAGCATAAATACAGAAAGTTTAGCAGTTTACTAAAGCTGCAGTTTAAAGCTGCCGACCACACCTGAAGCAATGTTGTTGAGAGCTGAAGGCTATTTCGCTGTTCAGAATGGATGTTTTGGGTGTGTTAAATCGTAAAACGTTGGGAAACATTGAGGTGTTTTTGTTCTCGTGTCTCCATTAAAATAAAAATAAAAGTCAGTAAAAGTGGGACTCTTCACTTTCTCACGATTACACATGCTGTTTATTTGTCAGCTCAATCTTTACACAACATTCTTCACAAGTGTGAAAGTGAATTCCTCTTTCTGCTTTTATTAACCAGTGTAATTCTTGTCTGAGGTTTTCTCTAGTATTACTACAAATACTATAAATACTGGTACTTTCATTAAAATTTACTGTGTATAAGAAACACCTTATTGTTGCAGAACCAGATACTTAATCCTGTAATTAGACAAACTGTTGACAAATTAATGTCCACATGTCAGCTATTCATTTTTAACCTAKTGAAAAGTTGTGTTGATTATTCCAAGAGTGTAACTTTAGTCTAATCAGATTGTAAGCCAATACGTGTTTTTTTTACAGGACTATTGTCAGTATACCATAGCATTCCTCAGATCCTGTGTCCTGTAGAGGGTCCAGGACCATTGTTTTGTTCCGGATGCAGGAAAGGGTGGGAAATGCCTCCCTGGCTATTGCTTTTCCAGTTAACTTTCCTTTTCCTGTTTTAAAATTAAATAAAGTCAAAAGCCTGATGTGTCAGAAACTTGTCGTGATTGGAACGCGTTTTGCAGAGGAAAACTAGCTGGAGTTTGTTGTACCCTGGGTGGAAAACATCAAGCCATTGGCAGCCATGAGTATGAGAGGAACAGGCAGTTTGTGGATCTAAAGGAACAGCTGTTTGCTCTCTCTGGGCGGATTTGGGTTTTCTCCTGCTTTGTCTTTAAGCTGGCCATTTGCTGTTCATAACAGTTTGGAACAGAGCGTCTGGCTCTGTGCCCGCTCCGGGGAGCCAACTTGCTTAGATTCAAGTTGTTAACAGCTGCTGTTCTTCAGGATGGGCAAAGGGCCTCTTAGTTTATAAAGATATGTGTGAAACTCATAGACTTAATGCAGAGATGTACTCAAACGATCATGTCAATAACACATTATTGCACTGACATTACATCACACAAATATGCCAGTTTCGATTTAATTTTCACCAAAACTATACATGTTTTTTTTTCTTTTACTCCTGGATTTAAATGTAAATTTGTCTTGTACTCAGGACGATCGCTGCAGACATCAGAAAACAAGTGACAAGAGACTATGGCTCACCTCAGATGTCGAAGAAACGAGGAGGTGCACATCACCCTGTGAGTCATCCTATATTTAACATGCCAGAGTACGAGGCCTGCAGGTTTGAAGTTGCAGTTTGAAAGGTCTCTAAGTGAATAGGTGTATTCGTTTTAGGTTGGAATGCAAAACAAGCGGGGTCTGTGGGAACTAGGGTTGGGTAATATTGGCAAAAAAATAAATCACGATTAATTGTGGTATTTAGTCGATAACGATTAATTTGACGATTAATCCCCTGGAGTCCCTGGACACCCTTATTTCATWGTCACATGACCAATTTAGTGGGAAAGATTTGCTCTTCATAAAAATCTGTTCCAAATTGTGTCAAAATTACAGACTTCAGGCTATACATCAAAATTTAAATTGTGTTGATATATAAATAATTTACAGAACTTTTTTTAAATATTCATCATATTTGAAGCTGAGAGGAGCAGCGAGCAGATTCTAACTGTTGGCATTAATCGTATTAATTGTCAAGTGCCAAAAATTAATCGATTAATGTTTTTCTGACRATTAATTACACACGATACGATTATGCCCAACCCTAGTGGGAACGTCATTTTAAAACTTCCTGTTGCACCTTAACTTGATCGGTTTTGTTATTTTGTCTGCCAAGTACGGTTTAAACCAGATTTTAGTGATTTTCAAAGGATGTGCTCTGAAAATGATGTTTTGTCATGTCAGTGCCTCTCATACAGGAAGGAAAAGTATGGAGGTAAATTTGTGTTTTTATTCAATCAAACAAAAAG